CCTCTGCTTGATATGAGTTCATTGGAACAAAACAACTTGGTGAGCTGGGAAAAAAAACCAGCAAGTTTTGACCAGTGATGAAACAACAGAAATGAAATATCCCAGTTCAGCTATCACAGCACAAAGGAGAACTTAATAAATAGGTGAATATGTTGGGAGAAGAAATGACCCAAGTCAGATTCCTAGTCTGATTTCTAATACTTGTCCTTCCTCCTTTAAATGCTCCTGTTCTCCTAGTGAGCTTTTCACAGGAGCTGGGTGGACTGACCCCGAATGAGCTACAGATTTTTGGGAGGCTGCAAGTGCACTGATTTTGTGAGGTACTGGGTTCTGTTTCCTCTTGACTTCACTAGGATGTCCTTTTTACAGTCAAAAGTCTCTCACCATCTCTTCTTTCCCTCATCTAAACCCTATTCTTCCCTGATTTTCCATCCCCTTATCAGAACTCCTCAGCCTGGTTTCCACTGTCCCCCTTTCAGCAGTGACCTGTAGGCTCATTGCCTGTTGCTGCTGCATGTATCAGATGGATATCTTCCATCAGCCAGTCTTCTCTCCTTAAATTAACCCCTATTTCTCTGCCTGTACCGTGCAAATGACAGCTGCTCTGGGAGAGGCAGCTGAACTGGCTCCTCTTCCTCATCCGTGAGGCTTGTCCAACTTCCTCAGCTTCCCGTTATAATGAAGGGCATTGACAACCAGCCCGACAAACCGGAACGGAAAGAGCCACTGTCACAGGGCCACTGGGGACCGCTGACAACCGTCCATGGACAAACGGGGCTCCCCACTTGGGGCTGGTGCCTGTTCACTCTTGCATCTCACCTCCTAAATCCCAACTGGCTTTTCCTATCAGGAGGCTGATGACCTCTGGTGACTGGGTCAGAGGGATCAGTCTGGCACCCATCAAGGTAGGGCACAGAGATTTCTCAATATCTTTTTGATCAGTTGTCCTTATCTCCAACTTTGCTGTGAAATCTTTTAATCGCATAGAATAGAATTATATAATGGGAATGCTGAAGCAATTTAAAATAATGACAACTATTTGTGCAAGACCAAACTTCTATATTTACTGATGAAACACCTTGCATCTGTCCTTCCTTACATCTGTCCTCTCTTCCCTTCTTCTTTCTGTCCATTGGTCCATCCATCCATCCACCCTTTCTTCAGCACAGACGCAAAGGGTGACTGCTACTGACCCAGGTCAGATATGCAGTGAGTACAGGATTTGTAAGTCTTTCCAGCGCACTTAAGCTCCTTTCTCTCCTCCCTGAGCTCCGTTCCTGCCCTTCGCGGAGCAGCCCCGGGACGAGATGCCAGATGCACTGTGCAATCCCAGACTTGCCTCAGCGGGGACAAGGACCAGTTGTCCAAACGTCCTCCACCTCTGTGATGTAACCCAGGTCTGTCAGCGAGGCTTCCTGCAGCTCCCGGCACACTTGTGACACGACCGGCTGACGCAGCCTGAGGAAACCCGCTGAGGGGGACACATGACTCACAAAGGGCCGGGGTTGCCCAAGACAGTGAGGCACACAAAGGCAGCAGGCCTCTGGAGAAAGGAAGGTCAACTCCCAAGCTAACTGCACTGCTGTGGGCATCTGTCCCCAGGGCTGCAGCTGCACAGTGTGCTGCAGGGGCGTTGCTTTTAACCCCTGTGGCAGCCACGGACACTGTGGAAAGGGCAGCTCCAGGTTTGGTAACTGGGCACACCGCTGACGCTGAAAAAGCTTTTCCCTCAAGAAATAGAGGTGATGGATGGCTTGAATTGCCGGGACTACTCACTCTCTGCACTGCTGTGCCTAGTGGCTGCTATAGAAAAAGTTTTTCTTCTAATGCCCTCCTAAAACTAGTCAGCCACATAGTGACCTGGGGAAACACCGACACCAGTGACGTCTGCACAAACGCAGAGCATTTTAGAGAGTTTACAGTAAGCCTTATTTCAAACCTTTCCACACAGCACCAGGGAGGAGTTGCTGCTGCTGCTTTCTAGGTCAGACACCCCCAGGCCTGAAAACAAGAATCAGATGGCCTTTGCCTGAATCCCAGAAGGCTGGAACGGGTTTTGGATAAAATATACAGTTGTGGGTGAGAACTCCAGGGTGGGATTACCAAGAGGATAGGTCTGGGATGGGCTAAGTTTGGAAAGGACAGGGAGATGTCCAATGGAGCATCGCTGCAGCTATTGGAGCTGTGGCTGCTCAATCCTCCAGAAAGGTTCCAGCACAAGTGTCTCAGGGAGAAACCTTGCACAGTGACACACTGGTGGCCCTGAGGACAGGTAGATGGTCACCTGTCATCCACCAGTACGATGACCAGATCATCAGGTGGGTCTCTCTAGCACCACTATCTAGTGCCAGTCCCTGTCCCCTATGCCAAATCTCCTGTGATGCAGTTTGTCACAGGCAGGGGAGAACTGCCCTGGCAGGAGCCTGTAACACTTGTGCAGAGAGTGAAGCTGTGGGGGAAAGAAGGCTCAGGCAGGGCCACCTGGGAGGCACAGCACAGGTGCTCTCACCACGGGGAAGGTGAGTCTGGCAGTGGGTGGTGCAGGCGAGGAAGAGCTGCACCAGAGGGATGGAGGTGGTGCCAGCAGAAACCATGGAAAGAATGAGGGAGGTTCACTCTCAGAGACAAATTATGTGGGGTGTGTCAGCAGGACCCAGCTGTGTGGCTGCCGGACTGGCAACCTCCGTCCAGCCGGCACAAGCTGTTGAGGTGGCAGGCTGGTATGTGGCCCCAAGCTCTGCAGTTTCTCAATCATGTGCACAAGAGAGAAAAACACAGGTTCTGGAAGGGCTGTTATGGGCTGGGAGTCAGATGAGCAACAGGATAGGTGGAGAAAGCCCAAGCCAAATCAAGACAGTCAGCTAAATGTTAAGACAGATAGAAAAAACAAACAAATCCTGCGCAGATCTGAAAGTGGACTATTCCTCCTAAATGTGCCCGAGCCGAAGAGTTAAAGGCAAGATAAGCCCCAGGCTGCTGTCACTGCAATTGAAACTTTCTGCGAGAGCAGCGAGGGGCATGTGGACCCGAGTGCTGCAGCAAAGGCTGCTCTGCTCCCCTTCTGGATGCTCCTGCCATGGGGAGCAGAGGAGCAGGCAGGGTAGCATGCGGGGGCCGGATCTCTGCGCTGAGGCTCTCTGGGAGTCCAGGAAAAGTTTCTGCCGGATGAACAGGGACCAGCCAGAGCAGTTCACAGACTGGCAGGGAAGCCTGAGGGGGAAACAGAGGTGTCACCACGGATCCTAACTGGGTCATAGCAAAAAGGGAAGGAGGCTCCAAGAATCAATTTTTGGCCCATCTTCCCACTGGGAAAGGCTGCACTAACAATGAGGCTGTGGCTGAGGTTGCCATTAGCTGTCACCAGTAACCCAGCAGAACAGGTTCCTGTGTCACAACTGGATTACAGGAGAAGGAGGGAGGAAGTGAAAAGCTGAAGAGCAGCTAGTAAGGGCCCTGTGACACAGAGTTAATCCAGTTAACTGGGAATGACCAATGATCCCCTTCTAACTCGATGCTGAAGAGAGACATGAAAGTCCAGGCAGACTAGGGAAAAATTTGTACCAACCAAACCCATCTTAACCATTGACTGACTGGCACTGAGGGTTGGGCAAGGACTGGTCTGTGACACTGCCAGTGCTGAGAGTTTAACTTATCTCAGAAGGTGGCAGAAAGTAGCTACAGGCTACCTGCACAGACCCAGCATGGTGAGCATAATCCCTACAGGATAACCCACTGTTGCACAAGTCAAGAGATCACAGCTCTCACACCCACAAACTCCCAACAATGCAGGCCAACGGGGAATGACGTAAAGGTTGGGCTTTTTCTCACATCTTCTGAAAGTGTGAGAAGTGATGGCATTAGCAAGGATGATTCACATGCTGCAGGAATCCTTCCTGTTCACTGGGAGCCACACACGAGGTGTAGCTGAAACCAGCAGGTTATTCTATCAATATTGTAGGCCAACAAGATATCTGCATTATGCCCAAACTCCAAACCTTTCCTTGCCCTGCTCTCACCTGTAGGATGGACAATATGGCAGAAAGTGTGAGGAGAACTCGTGTCCTGTTTCTGAGGCAACTTTCCTCCTGTAGCTACACTCACACCCTGAGCAGCCACAGGTTAGTGTGTTCAGCTCCAGAGATCCACTTGTGCTGCTGTCTCCTTGCTGTAACCCAAAATACAACAAGCACAACTTTTCTGAGGGTATGGACTGACATCTGTGTTGCTGTCATGTTGGATAGGCTGCTCTAGCAGCTGTGTTTTAAGACTTCCTACAATTATGCCAGATAAAAGCTGTTCATTGGAACTAAGGTGCATTGATATACATTATTACCACTACTGTGGTTTCTCTTCCCCAGAATAACTGCTGGGGTTTCACAGATCCTGCTCAGTCAAGCCATCTCAAGTTTCACTCTAAGATCATTGAGTCCAAGCATTAATCCAGCACAGCCAAGCCCACCACTAAACCATGTCCCCAGGTGCCACATCTACATGTTTGTTAAATCCCCCCAGGGACAGTGACTCCACCACTGCCCTGGGCAGCTGCGCTGGGGCTGGACAGCTCTTTCTGGAAGTTTTCCCAGTCTCCAACCTGAACCTTGCCTTGTGCAACTTGAGGCCTTTTCCCCTTGTCCTGTCCCTCGTTCCCTGGGAGCAGAGCCTGACCTCCGTCTGGCTCCATCCTCCTGTCAGGGAGTTGCAGAGCCAGAAGGTCCCCCCTGAGCCTCCTTTTCTCCAGGCTGAGCCTCCACAGCTCCCTCAGCTGCTCCTGCTGCTGCAGCTCCTTCCCCAGCTCTGTTCCCATCTCTGGACATGCTCCAGTGCCTGAATGTCTTTCTTGTTGTAAAGGGCCCAAATCTGAACACAGGATGCGGCGATAAAGATATGAACCAGAACTGGCCCCAGTACTGAGCCCTGGGGAACCAGTTACCACCAGCTGGAGGTGACTCCACTGACCCATCATCCTTTGAATGAAGCAGATATTTTGACTTTGTCTAAACTTTTATTTCAAGGAATACAATTGCTTTGAGTATATTCACAAGAATAAATATAAAATTCTTCTCTCCAGAGTAAGAAGATGAGTTTCTATAAAAATATATCTCTGTCCCACAGAACCACTTAGGTGGGGTTCCCTTTAGGAAGTATTATTTAATAAAAAAATAAAACACTGCAAATAAAATGCTTGACCTATACTGATTGAATCACCAAACAATTGAAATTTTTAAAATGTTATAAATATTGTAAATATTATTAATAAAAATAACATTTAAATAGGTGGGAAGCCACTGAGTTCATCCAGATGAACAGAACACTGCATGAAGCCAGCATTTCTTCTATAGGGCACCAACTTCCTTGTATTCACTGGCATTTGTTTGTCTCCTCTTCTTTCGGTACCTGGAGAAGAGGAGAGAAATGTGAGTTCTGGAAAGACGGTTGTTCCAAATGGCTTTTTGGGGAGTGAAGGGAAGGAAGGAAAAAGAAAGCTGTATGACCTTCTAAAGTTTGTTTTAAATCTCTCCTCCTTTAACTTTCTAGCTCCTGGGCTCTGTCTGTGCTCATTTCCAGGTCTGAGATCGCTCGTGTGCAGTCTCCTTTCTCGGCTCTTCACTGAAAATTCCACATCTGTCTTAAAGTCTTCCTGCTGGCAACTAGGTCTGTCTTTGAGAAATCCCTCTGGTTACCATGTAGCTATCAGGTCTGGGAAGCTGAGCTGTCCCTCCAGAGTTGTTCCACTTCCTCAGCTCTCTGACAGCTGCTTACTGCTAATTTTTAGCCTGGAGAACGATTCCTGCTGCTTGTGGGTCTGTTCATGGAGAAGACTACTGTCCCCCATGGTAAAGCTCACGATATCACAGGCACCACAATAACACGGCAGATAAACAAATTAGCTAATAGCAATCCAGTTGTTCTCCATTTCCTGATGACTGGGAAAATGGCACTATCAATAAAAGAACCAGAACTTTCCTATTCCCTTTCTGCTCACACCTTGACCTCAACACACCCTCTAAGCCAGACATGCTTATACAGTCCTTAGATAGCCAAGCTATATAGTCCTGTGCTGGGATGAAAAGGCACATGGGAGTGCTGCTGCCTGGTCTGCAATTTGGGTTATGCCACGCTGTCAGCACACTGCCTTTCCTGAGCACTTCAGGTGCAGGCCAGCAGGTCTGTGTGTCAAACCAACTCCATGCACTTGAGGGAGTGCAGTGTCCCAGGCTATCCACAGGTACTCCGAGGGTGCCTGGCAACACCTGCAGCCGGCTCACCTTCCTGAGCCACTGAGGGCACCTGTCTTACCTCCTGCAGATGTAGTAGCTTGCAAGGGAGATGGCAGCGACGAAGAGCAGAACCACGATAACCGTCAATACCACGTACTCCTTGCTGAGGGGCTGCCGCACCAGCTCTGAGTGCACACACCGCACTCCGGAGAACCCCACATCACACCTGGGAATGAGAGACACGGAACTAGAGACACAGCTGAGGGGCTCCACTGCAGCATGGACTACATGCTGAAATGCTGGCCTGCTGTTTCCTCTGGGATAAGCCACTTGAAGTGATGTAACACAAGCCCATGTGATCCTAGAAATGGTTGCAAATTCTTTTTAAGGAGTACCCTTAAAAATGCCTAGAGGGTCTTTATTATGTAGGGTGGATCAAAGGGGAGACCTTAGTGCTGTGCCTGAGATCTGGTTCTCACACTACTGTAAATACAGATGGACAGGGAAGCATATCAGAATAAATGCCCCAAGTTGGGCTGGTGATTAATTTCATGTGTCTGAGACTCTCACTCACAAAGATTTCACTGGAGGCAGCGCATGTGCTTAACACTTGCTTAAATGCAGCTGAGGTGCAGAATAGACATACTGCTCCTCCTCAGGTTCTTGAGAGCCTTTAATACTTGGCTGGCTGAGTATTCCAGCTAAGCGGCAGCAGCAGTGAGATCCAGGTTCACCTCAAAGCCCACCCCAGGGATACATGCAGGACACACAGGGCCCTGTCCACACCTGCAGTAGTGCTCATCCAAGTCCACGATGTACACACACTGCCCATGGAAGCAGTAGTCCTTCATTTCAGGTTTGCATCTCGTTATCCCAACTTGGGCCACACGTGGGCTGTTCTCTGTCTGGACTGCAAGAAGATTTCATTAGCACCTCAGGAGGTGGGCAATGCTGCTTAGCAGAAAAGTGATTTCCAAGGGCACCTCAGTGAGGTTGCCAGCCCAGGGAAGATGGGAAGCAAAGATCTGTTGTTACAAAGAGCTGAGCAGTACTTACTGAGCGCTGTGGTGCAGTTCTCCATATCACCAGGCCCACATAATGGGATCACTGTTGTGCCCAGGACTGCCTGCAATAGGTAACCTGTGAGAGAATAAAAATGATAGTCAAAACTAGATGCATTTCGGGTTAAGTATTTAAGCTGCTGTACTCATTAATACAAGGACAGAAACTTTATCCTAGTAGGAAAAACCCAGTGTTGTAAGCTGAAAAAACACAGGTCTGAGTGATCTGCTGCCTATGTTGTAAAAGGCAGCCCAAAGACACATCTCTGAAATACAATCATTTAATGCAGAACAGAGATCGATCAGACAGAAGTCTGGTGTCTGTGACCACCTCTCACCCACATGCTGAGTGAACCTGGGCAGGAACAGGCTTGGAGAGATTACGCAGGAGGGCAGGAATTGGGCCATTTGATGATTATGTTAGGTTTCTGACTGGCCTGGCATGGCACCTGTGCGAGGGACACAGCCAGAGTTCCACAATTAGGCATGACAATCCAGCATTCATCACAGCAGTTCTTTTGCTGATCAAAATCAAGATATCCTTGAGTCACAACAGTCCACAGGAAGAGAATTTCTGAGGAATCTGCAAGTCAGTACAGCTGGTGACTCAGCACACCCCACCACTGGCTTCAGAGATCACAAACTGCTTGACGCAGGCTTAACACAAAAGCTGCTCTTTCCCATGAAAGAGCTCCCTCAGCCCTGTCCTTGCTGTACACAGCTGAAAGGCTGGACAGTTCCTGCACTAACACCTACCCTTTTTGGGCCCTGGGCCACTGTTACTAATCTCAGCAGAACCCCAGAAGAAACAGGCACAACTTTCAGGAATTCCGCTAGTTAAATGGACATTTCCAAACAGGATTTGAAGGCCAGCACAAGTACTCACAAGCGTCATGGCCTGCCCATGAGAAACAGTGAATGTTTGCCCCAGCTGGCCATAAAATCCACTTGGCTAACATTCCTGCTGTGGTCACAAACTAACCTGCTCATGAACTGCTTAGTCATCAGCCCCATTCCACGGAAGTCTGTAATTTGTGTCTTTGGGCTGTTTGCCTCTATTAACTTGTCAGGTCATGCATGTCTAATGGAGGGAGTGTGCCTCCATAATTTCTTGATCACTCTAATTCAACTCCAGTTATTAGAAAGTTTCATTACATCTCAGGGTTAAATCTAGTAGTGGTGATTTATGGATTTCCGGCAGCTCATCTATTTCTGGGTGATTAGTAGGCTTCCTTTATCCTTCATTCCAGCTACATATGAGTATAGCAGGAACATCTAACAGGGACAGGGTTTTTTCCTGTGTTGGAGTTTTTAAAACCGCCATTCCTCACAAAGCTAAGAAGCCAGATTTCCACCAAGTTTTAGATGGAGCTCTCCCCTGCAAGGCCAGAGCCATGGTATCAGATCCATGATGCTGGCACCTGCACAAGCCGGAGACTCCTGTGCCTGCCAGTGTGACTCAGCAGGACCTGCCTTTCACTCCAATGGGGCAGGACACACAAGTTTACTTTCAGGGTGGGATTTTTTCTAAAGCAGCACTGTGCTCAGTGCAGATTTCCTCAGAGGCAGCAGTTTAACACTTCTGTAAGGCCAGTTTGATTTGCCATGACAGAAAGTTCAAGTGTTCAAACATTGGCTGACAGATGCTGGCAGCTCAGTTACTGCCAGAATGGCAGACTGAGCTTCAGCAGGGACCTGGGGTCCCCAGAGGAGCTGGGAAAAGAAGATTTACCGAGTCAGTCCTTCCCAGGAACTAGAGAGACATTTCAGGAGCGCTAGACAGACTAAGTTGCTCCCTCAGCAGAGAGGAGCTATGGCACACGACAGCTCTGTCCTGTGACAAGGACACACCATGTCACAGAAACAGGTAACAACAGTAATGAGCAGCAGTCAAGGCAAAACATGCCAGAGGTATCCAAGACACCCACTTGTTAAGCAGATGGATTAAGCCAGCTGAGGATCTCCTCTAGCCTCCACATTTTTGTGTCAGTTTGCATACTCCCTTGACCCGAGCATCACCTGAGCAGCTGATTTTTAATCTGAAGTTCCCAGTTTGAGAGTTACCAGAACTCAGCTTTTGCATCTGAGAAGCTCCAGCCCAGGTCCGTGGAAGAGACAAGTCAGCTCTCCCCGTGGCCCCAGAAGGAAGCCTCACTTTCCAGCTAGAGGAAAGGCCACAACTCAGACATCTGTGAAGGACAAATTAAAAATAACCTCCTTCTCCAATACCGCCCAAAGGTTCGCCGGATCCCAGCCATGCATGATGAATGACATCCTCCTCCACCTGAAAGCAGGCACACGGGGCTGGAGAGGCTGGAGAGCAGGTGTGATACTTGCTGACACCCAGCAGTATTTGCTGCTTTTGGGCAAAGTTCTTCCTGCTTTGCACTGCTCTATTTTGCCCTTTCCCCCATGCACATATTTCTCCTGTGACATCACTGGGAGGATAATGGATCTGCACACGGCAATGGCAAAGGAGAGCCTTTCCCGGGATATTTATCAAGTGATGTATACCAAACACAGTACCTGGGAGAGGTTATATTTTTATTCCTTTGCTGTTCAGTAAGCAAATACAGAGCATGAGATAACAGTAATGAGGTGGTGGATTTTCACGTGTGCCTTGCAGAAATGTGAGTGCTATAAGGATTGCTACATCACTGGCATCCGACATCCCGGGTATTCCCACAAGGCTAACACTAACAGCACTTACTGGAACAGGAACAATGCTGCTGCCTGCTTTTCCTTCCACAAGGGATGAAAGGAAAATGAGGGACAGGGACCAACTGCCTTTGTTTCCTGTAACCTCCATCAGAGATGCCCTGCAAGGGTTAATTGTGAGTTTATCCACTGAAAGCCAGCTGTAGTTTCCAGCGGCAGGATGTCTACTAAGAATGAAGGATGCACATGGGAGATACACTAACTACTCTGCAAGATTTATACCCATTTTAGAGGCGAGCTGTCAAGTTTTGGAGAGGTCAATCACCACTTGAGTTGGCTTTGCCTGTCACTAGGGGCACCAGTCTTGTACTAGTTCACCTGAAGAATGCTATTTCATGATGCTTTTTCACATTTGGCATCTCTGTGGTCTCTGCTGCAGCGTTAGCACCTACACTCTTCAATGGGTTGCACTTCCAAAGCAATTCCAAGTGCAGAGGTGTCCAGGTGACACACACCTGAAGGATCTCAGCCCATTTTAACTGCAGTGTACCCCCATCACCAAATTTTGGACATCCAGAGCACATCTGACTGTCTAAGGCCTTCTTAGTGTAGACCAAGCAGGAAAAATGGACGTTAGCCAGTGTGTCCCACTGGCTTTGTGAGCATCCTTACTACCACTAACTGCAGAACTGCATACTCACAATCAGAGATGCCCAGGCCTGGCCACAGCAGCTCTGAGGCAGCCCTGGAAACACCAGCCTGTCATGGGAAGACTATTGCTCCAAAATTGTTACAGGCCCACACGATCATCTTCAGTTGTGCCAGGACTTGCCCTTAAGCAGAGATAATGCAGATAATTACGCATTATGTGCACCCAGTCATTCCAGTACTGCTTCCACCCCTGTGGAGACCTATACACCAGTCATCTTATTCACATGCTGCCCCCGTGCCTCAGCCACTCTGCTTTCACCTCCTGCATGGGGGCTGAGATCCCTACACCAAAGAAGCAGAAACCCATTATTGCTTCCAGCCAGGCACATCAGCCCCTAATATCTTCCCCATCTCCAGACTCAGCAACCTTTATGTTCAGCCCAGTTGCTGATGGCCAGGTACATGTGACACAGGAAAACGTAAGGTGGTCTGGAGATCCAAGGTCTGAGTGAGCATTACAGTGACCACAAGGAGACCAGTGCCAAGGTTCCAGCAGCAGCTCCCAGAAAAGGAAGAGCCTGGGCTTGGCTCCATCACCACCACATAAGCACGTGGTTGGCACGGCACCGTGGCTGCTCAGGAGTGAGCGACAGCTCTCTGCCACCACTGCCTTTCTACTGCGCAGTCAATATGCCCGCAAGAGCCAGGATACAAACCTGACATGGCTGTCACTTCAGTTACAGACTTCAGCCATTCAGCAGGAAACCTCTTCCAGTCTGGAATAACATCAGCAACAGACAGCCTTCCCAGCAGCACCATGTTCTGCTCACACTCCTGCCCTGGGAGGGGAAGGTAGTAAAGTGCTCGCACCACTTGTTATGATGCCACCTAGCTATGACTAATCTATCCTTTACTATTAGATATTGTGCCTGCCCCGGAAACAAATCCGTACACAGGTCCACGAGGACATACCAGTTCCTTTCAGTGCCAGTTTTGTGCAAAGCATGTCTGAGTCACAGACTACAAGACGTTTAGCCTGCTGTCCTGGCAAGTGAGATGCTGTGCAGCAGCTGATCCATCAGCTGTTATGGAAAGAGCTGGCCAAGATCTAAGACCCAAACTCATGCTATAGTGGGCTTAGCAGGTGAGGGAAACATCTGTCTCAAAAGTGAAGTCTCGGAACTGAGTCCCTCCACTGACTATGACCTCGGCCCCTACACCGTGAATGTGAGAATATGCTTTGTCACTAGAGCAAGGTGTGAGTGTGCCAGGCCTCGGTCCTACCTCAGACCTTCGCTGCCCACACGGCTCAATTGCCCAACAGGGTCAGCTCTCGGCAGTCACTGCCAGTCACCGCCAGCGCCCTGTGGAGGTGTGTGACAAGGATCAGCTCTTGCATTACAGCACACCCAGGCCCCAGGACTCTCGGTGCTCTAAGGATACACGTGTTCACTTTGGATTTTCAGGTAGCTTATGTCATACAATAGAATTACACGCTCCCGGTGAGGAGGTGGAGAAGTGTCAAGCAGAGGGAGGCCACAACCTGTTTTGTTACCATAAGGAAGTCTCTGTTCCTGTGGGGACTCACCCGCTGAGCTCACTCATGGTCTGGGTGAAGGCAGCAGGATCAGGCTATAAACAGGACAGGACAAAGTGAAAGAGAACTGATAGCACCAGGAGAAGAGCTGGGGAGAAGGGGAAAGAATGTTCTCCTTCACTCTGTCACAGAGCACATCCAGGCACCGCACAAGCAACAAAATATCCCGTACCACACTATGGAGTGTGTAATCTGCTCCTCAACTCACACAACCTCCCCGTCACTACCTGTGACTTCACCTCGGAGACAAACACATCAGCTTCACCTAAAGCAACCTGAACTAAAGCTTTGACACAGATTTCCCAGTAGCTTGAGAACGCCCGTCCCAGAACGTAGCACGCGATGCCCTCCCAGCCCTGACCGCGGGAAGCGGGTCCTCTTCGCTTACCGAGGAAGAGCAGCAGGCTGCGGGCCCGCAGACAGCCGGCGTCCATCGCCCTCGGTCCCCGGGGAGCAGAGGAGGCGGCAGGAAAGCAGGCGGCGGAGGCAGGAGCGGTGTGGAACTGGCGGCCGGCCGCATCTTTATGTGCCGGCGGAGAGGCGGAGCCCCGCGGCGGCGACACCCGGCCCGCCCGGCAAGGGGCAGCGGCCCGACCCGGCCTCCTGTCGCTTCCTGCCCCGCCGCCCCCAGCGGGACGGCACGGGACTGGCCGCCCCCGGTCCTGTGCCCGCGGGCGATGCCCCGACGGCAGGCAGGGGGAGCGCCGCGACACGGCTGCCCCAGCGCTTCGGCGGGGAGGGGAGGGCAGCGCTGGCCCCTCCGGCCGTCGGCTGCTCCCCGGGGACATTCGATATCCCTCGTTCTAGCAAGCATGTCTGCAAATAGTCCCCGGGGCTGTAAAACCACCTGTCCCCTCTGAGCAGTCTGGCCAAGGCACTGATGCCCGGGACTTCCCGGGGCTCTGGATGCCCACGGCTGACGGCACCGCTGCCTTCGCTTGCCCTCAGAGCATCCATGCAAAGTGTAATGGCACGAGGCTTGGGAGCCAACTGCTGCCCAGGTGGGTTCTGCTGGTGCTCAAAGAACCACTGAGCCATTGCACTGCCATGAGCACCACCTGTGCCTAAACCAAGGCTTGGAAAACGCCTCGGGGTGGGTAGTGGGAAGCGTGCTGCCATTCCTAATCTCCCATCTCCTGGCATTTCTGAAGTGACCCTCAGCACATCCGTGGGGCTGCCAAGGAACCTCAGGGCCGGGGGCAGAAATGGTCTATTAAGTTACAGCACAGACCTCAGGAATGCCAGCATCTCACCTGGCACCTGGGGTTGCCTGCAATGGGCATGAGCTCAGGGGGTGTTTATGCCACGTTTCCCCTCCAGCCTTCGGCCTTGCCACAGCCCAGTAGCATGGGCAGTTCCTGGAAGCAACACATCTTCCAGTTCCCTAAACAGCAGCCAACCAGTTACAGCTACTTTTAAGAAAACATCCCACTGAAGCCCACGCACTCCCGCTGCCACATTAGGCAAGGCCTCGTTTGGTGCTTACACCCCACCATCGATGGCTGAGGGGTCCCCCACCATCAGATCCCTTCTGTATGCATTTGCCTGAAATAGAAAGTGTGTTTTGGCTTAACAAACTGCTCAGCAATGTTGGTTACTTCTTTCCCTTTTAAAGAAAAAATCCTCTTCCCCTGCCTTACCACTTTCCATCGTCAGTAAAGGCACGCGATACCCAATGTAAGCCTATCTCAGAGTGAAAGGAGTCTGAGTCCTGGCACTGAGGTGCACTGGAACAACTGATGACTCAGGCACCTATAGTTTCTCCATTTTATAAGCAGCGATTGATACAAGGGAGTTAATTGTAGAAGATACTGTAGAATATGATATAACACAACTCCATGTTTAGATAGCAGTTCTAAGTAATAAAAGCATTAAATCGGGGGCTGGACTAGATGTGGTACTTACAAATCACACTTCTCCTTATTTTGGGAGCATTTTCTTAGGTCTACAGAGGCATGCAGATGCTGCAATGAAAAAAGGCAGCGCGTTACAACAGAACTGCATGTCAGCACAACTTATTAATGACCTAAATAATAGGAGAGTTGGCAGGATAAACGTAACAAAGCTCAGCGTGAAAGTAGCTTTAGATTTTTTGCCACAGTAAGTGGGACGTGACATAGCTGGAATCTTTTTCTCATTCCCCTTTTCTCCCCCCCAGCACTGGGGTCATGTCATACAGATGGTATCTTTTCTCATGCCACTTGACTGTTTTTTTGCTTCTTTAATTTGGGCTGATGCCCCTTATTAAGGATTTTATTGTCTGCTCTCTCAGGGTTCATAATGAGTAAAGGAAGGAATTGCAGTGATTAGCAAAGTGTTTCGGTGTGTGGGCTTACAGATGCCTTAAAAAGCAGCATCACCGTAGAACTTCCACTTTATAATTAATTTTACCCTTAAATTCCTGCATGATTTATCCTCTGAAAGGCAACATTTAATTATAGTCTTGTACCGGTACCCAGATACCAAGTAACGCTGACACAATTGGAGCAATTCATTGGAATTTCCTCTTTCAGATTTGAACATATGGAAAACAAGTATCATGCACACATCTTTGTTTCATCTTTCTGTAATGGGCTTCATTTCAGGGTGCGCGATTTCACATCCGGCATCCCTGTGTGCCGCTTTCCCCATCCCCTCCTCCACATGGAGGCTGATTCTTGGGATAAGGTTGGCACACACCTCCAGAGCCAGTTTCCAAGAGGCTGCTCACACTGCGTGGTGCCTTCCTGCATCAGTGGAGTCATTGTGAGGCAGGTTCCTTGCATCCCACAGTCTGGGTACAGAGCGACGGACAAGGCTGAGAGGCAGCACTGGTTGGGCAACAGAGCATCAGCTGCTGGCCTTGATTTCAGCCAAGGTGAACCAGCACACCCAGGGCAAGGCACTGATGGATTTGAGCCCCTTGGCACCAGAGCATCGAGTAGCCCCCTGAATGCTTTGACATTTCAGGATTTTCTCCTTTACAAAGTGTAACGAATATGAGGAAATCCCTTAAGAACCCGCGTGAAAGACTGACTTGCTTTTATGACCTTGCAATGGCTGAATAATCACCTTTAAAGAAAACCTCTATTCACAAAGCACAGAGGCTCAGCTCAAGTCCACGCTGTGCTTTAGCCCCTCTCAGTGTCAAAAGCACTCCTCTCCCCTTTTGGGACAGAGCAGCAGATTCACAGCAGTGATTACTGCAAGGGTACGGACCGAGCTTTCTCTGTTAGTTTATCTGTCACTGATGAAATACAGCACTATCTACGAACAACACACCCTTTTCACCTTATAGAGCAAGAAAACCAGGTTAAATGTAGATTTCTCTGTGGCCTCTATTTTCCTCAGGGTGACTTGCTGTAGAAGAACACATGTGTTCACAGCAATGAACTGCCATTTTATCTACATGTTTTTACATAAATAAAACCATACATGACAAGTGACTACACCACTTATTTCACCTGCTTACTGTAGGACTTGCACCCAGATTTATGAATTGCTGCTGTGAGGATGGATCTGCACTGGATTTGTCTGTTGAGAACAAGACCTATTTGCAAAATCAACATTTTTTTTTTTAGAAAGCATTTTTGTAGCTGAAAGTTCCTAGTGTTGCTGTGATGCACTCGACGCTGCTACACACAGGCATAAAGTAACCAAAAGCAGTGTTTTCATCAATTCATGGGAAAATCAGCCAACATTTTTCAAACAGTAAGATTTTTACATACAGCAAGCTTTCACTGCATAGCATGAGAGATGCTCAAGAAATACTCTCAGAAGGTTGAACATTACTTGGAGTGCAGCTCACTCCTGACAGCATTTTCATTTGAACTGCAAAGATGAATATTAAGTCCCTGGAGGGATTTAAAAGATGTGTACATGTGACATTAGTGTCACAGTTCAATGGTGGGTTTGGCAGTGCTGGAGGAATGGTTGGCCTTGATGATCTTAAGAGGGCCTTTCCAACTAAATGATTCTATGATTTTATGAAATTTTTAAATGGCCAAAAGCTTGAGGCTCGTGGGAACATAAACGCCCTAAGAAGGGAATGTACTTAACAGGGATACGTAGATGTGAGTGTCTGCAGGAAACGGGGTAAAGAAAAGCCTTGAGCCAAATTACTTCATTTAAAGGTCAGTTTCAAATTTGCCATGAATCTGAGGGATAAATTAGGTCAAATGTTCTTAAACAACCAGTCTCTCCTATAAACTATGAGAGTTCAAAACACTGCACCCAAGGCTGAGAGTGGTCAATGCCTCTTCCTGTAAATGCAGCATGAGGTCAAAGCTACCAGACAACACAGATGTTTTGCTACAAAAAAAAAAAAAGCAATTCCCCAAATTCACTGATTTCTTAGACAACTTCTTGGGACACTATTAACTAACTAGCAACTTAAAAAAGAAAGAGAAAAAGCCCAAAGCTAATTGTCCTCCATCTCAGAAGATGGTGAAGAAAAGTGGACAAGTCTGCCAGTTCATGCTGGATTCCTCCCTAGAGGACAGTTTTTAAAGCTTCATTCTTCTAGCTTGTGTGACTTTTCCATTACTCTCTCCTGGGCAATTCCGGAGTGGCTCAACACATCTCACAGGCAGCAAGAGCTTCATAATGCTCAGCTGGT